GGGACGGGCGGCGGAGGGGGGGGGGGCTCAGCAGGGAGCGCTCTCCCCTGGCAGGCAGGGCTGGCCCCAGGGCGGTGCTAGGGGTGCTGTGGGGCAGGGAGCGGTACGGGGGGCAGCAGGGGGCGCTTTACCCTGGCAGGCGGGGCTGGTCCCAGGGCGGCATTAGGGGGCGCTATGGGGCAGGGTGCAGGGCAGGGGCTCAGCAGGGGGCGCTCTCCCCTGGCAAGCAGGGCTGGCCTCAGGGCAGCACTAGGGGGCGCTGTAGGGCAGCGCTAGGGGGCTCAGTTGTGTTGCTTGCCCCAGTCCTCCCTGAAATATCCCCTCCCCCCTCCCTACCCCCCTGGTCCATACGGTGCAGGTGACGGACTTGGCGGTCCCCGACTGCTGGAAGACCAGCTCGAATCCGTGCTCCCCAGCGTAGTCCTCGGTGGAGGGGACAGTGGAAGAGGTGGGGGGCGGCTCTGGGGCCGGGCCGGGGAGCTCCCAGCCCCCGTCGCTGCCCCCAGCCTGTGAGAGCAGGAGGGAGGGGTCCCCCGAGCCAGACAGGCCCAGGGCCAGGCCCAGGGCCAGGTCCGGGTCTGGGTCCGGCAGGCTCTGTGGGGGAGACATGGCGAGCCAAGGGTTAATGCCGCAGACCAGACCCCCCCCGACCACAACCGACCTCAGCCGCCCCCAGAATCCACCGCCCCCCCCCCCATGGATCCAGCCAGCCCCACGGCCTCCCTGCCCCCGCCCCCAGCCCCTCCCCATACCCCACATCCCACCGCACCTCTAGTCCCTCCACTGCCCTCCAGCCCGCCCCCCAAAAAAAGTCCACCCTGCTGGGTCAGAGCAGGGGGGGTGGAGCCAGGACTCCTGGGTTCTCTCCCCGGCTCGGGGAGGGTTGTGGAGGCTGGTGGGTTAGAGCAGGGGGGGTGGGAGCCTGGACTCCTGGGTTCTCTCCCCGGCTCTGGGAGGGGAGTGGGGGCTGGTGGTTAGAGCTGGGGGGGCGGCTGGGAGCCAGGACTCCTGGGTTCTATCTCCAGCTCTGGGAAGGGAGTGTGGCAAAGTGGGTGGCGTGGGGGCATGGCTGAGAGACAGGACTCCTGGGTTCTATTCCCCACTAGCCCTCTGCACTTACAGACAGCCGCTGGCTCTCCGTTGCGGTGGAATCCGCGTTCGTGGGATACCAGCTATTGAAAGAGACAGGAAAGGTAAAGATGAAGGGGGCTGTCCCTCCACCACCATGCAAGGTAAACCCTGCTCTGCTCTGCCCTGCCCTGCCCCTCTCTGAGCGCACCACCTTTAAATTACAAGGGGTTTGAGGGGACAGGTCAGGACAGGTGCTGAGAAGGGAAAGGGGGAGGATTATGCCTGGGAAGGGTGGGTGAAGCCCGGGGGGGGGGGGGGGGCTAGCCATCTGGGTGGAGGGGGCAGGGACGAGGGGGTCCCCCCAATACTTACATATTGCTCCAGAAATCAGAGAAGCTCTCCTGGCTCAGGGGCGGCTCTAGCCCGGGGTCCAACATCGGCTCCATTCCAGCTGTTCCCTAGAGGTAGGGTGACAATCAGAGAGAAGGGTTAAGGTGAAATTGAAAGTTAGGGTGAAATTAGAGATAAGCTGTAACGATGCTGGTTCTGGCGGGACCCAACTGAGAGTGCCAATTCAGGAAAGATTGCTTAAAACAGGGCAGTTACAGCCCAAGGCTGGGGTTTCTCCACCTCTAAGGCAAACCAAACCAGCCAGACTAAGAGGACTTTGGTCTCACCCCACTGGCTAATCACACATCACACAAGCAATTCCCTCAGACACTCCAGTTTCCAGTATCACCACCAGCGCCACTCGTAAATGGGACAAATGAAAACCAATACCCCAGTAAAAGAAAAAAGGTTCTCCTGATCCCAAAGGACCAAGCCCCAGACCCAGGTCAATATACAAATCAGATCTTATCCACAAATCACGCTGTTGCCGATCCTTTAGAATCTAAAATCTAAAGGTTTATTCATAAAAGGAAAAAGATAGAGATGAGAGTTAGAATTGGTTAAATGGAATCAACTATATCCAGTAATGACAAAGTTCTTGGTTCAGGCTTGTAGCAGTGATGGAATAAGTTGCAGGTTCAAATCAAGTCTCTGGAACACATCCCCGGCTGTGTTGTGTTGTCAGTCCTTTCATGAAGTCTGCAGCGTTTAGATAAGAGCATTCAGATAT